AAGGCATGGCCAGCCTAACTCGGTTCTGCTCGTAGCACCGTTTTCCTCTCACCCCCGTTAGAGTCAACTCGTAATTGTCTCTGAAAAAGTCAACAGCAACAAAACCTGGGCAGCCCCAGCCGGCCTCTCCGCCCCGGCGTCCAGTCTTTTGACAGCCAACCCCGTGTACCAAAAAGAAAATTTAATATCTGGTTCCTGTGCGTACCCGGTTATCCGCCCGCTGGGCCCCTCTTCGTAGTCATCATCCCTTATCAGCGTCCGCCCCGAACATCTTGGGCACTGGGTAACCCGCCGTCCGGTGTTCCTTTACATCCCAATGCGCAATGAAAAAAACCTGTATTTTAGAGAATGGTACGTACATCATAAATGTACACTGTATGGAAACATCCAAAAATTGCGTCTTTTCAAAATTTCATCCAGTTTGCCAACCGTCTCGATGCAACGCAATGCACCAGGGCCATGTCGCGAACACGACAACTAAAGATGTAGGAAACAGTGACAAGACGCGGCGGTACCTCTGTACCTGCTTTCCAACATCCCAACTCAGGAACCTTGGGTTACGCAGCCTTGAAGGGCTTCAAACAGCGTCGCGTAACGGGATCCGGGTCCAGAATCCGCAAGTCTCGAGTACCTCCGCCCCGAGTCGGGTTCGGCTGGGCCCTTTTACCGCCTCTTTCGTGTTGCAGCTCAAAACGCCCGCTGGTCAGCGCCGGCCCAGTCTTGACATCCACTGTAGTCTGTTCGTGGCCCCCCAAAACGGACTACCACCCCGGCATGTAGTTGCACTTTGCAAAGAAGTTGGACCGTCTCCAGTGTAAGAGAATCGAGCAATTTAGAAGTAGAAACGTATAGATAGCAGAAAAGAAAAAAAAGATGTATTCGCAAAAGTACACTTGAATCACACAAGTTAAAGTACACATCAAAATGTAGGTACATACCTTTCGACCCGTTACGACTCGAGTCGCGGGTTGGACATGCCAACTCCCCTGTCAAACCAAACCAGCCCAACGACCTCTACAACAAGTCCACAACCAGCGAAGCAAGCCATGTTCGTCCCTAATGTTGTTTCCATTAGTGTACGCCTGGGTCCGGAATCCCCAGTTTCCCCAAAAACAACGGAGAGGCGAAGACCAGACCACCTCACAGCAATCAAATCCGAGACCCCTTTTGCGCCCACCTTACCCCAGGTTGTGGGCATCGGACTAACCCCCCAACAAGCTAGGGCGCTTGGGTGCGCAGCAGACGGGACGGGGGAAGAGAGTAAGAGTAAGAGCAACAACAACACATACAAACACGGTCAAGATCCAGAAAAGACGAAAGGATCACGAGATGGCATATGTTGGGGATGGCCCTGCCCGCTCTGCCACGCCGAATGGCCCGGGAGCGCGGCGGCTGACCCCACAAACCCCGCCTAACCATGGCGGCGTTGGTCTCTCCAAGAGGCGTACACTTGTTGATGAAGCGTATGCGTAGGATGCCAGTTTCCATTACCCCCAGATTACTTGATCGTGCAGCATTCGAGGGGCCACGGGACAGACCGACTTGGCCCCATTGGGGGACGACGACTCTGGGATGACAAGCCCCTACCTAGGTAAGGCAGGCATTGATACCAAGTTGACCCAGGCTTCTCTTTCTTGAAGTCCCGAAATCCCCTTTTTCCCTTCCCCAGTTTCTTGGCCCCGTGGTACTAGTAACTAGGTACCGCGAAGGCGCGATGAATGGGAGATATTTGCACCGGCACCAATGGAAGTCTGGCCCAGCCGGCCGGGGCCCCGACCATCGAGGTCCCCGCGAACCCGCATCGCCATTACCAAATGGAAAAGCCATTGTAAAACACTGCCGGTGTCTGACCCCTCGTCACGCGCTCTGGCAAGGCCTTTTGTTTCGTCCAAAAAAGAATGCAAAATTTACTGTCCACGAACACGCTCGGGGTTGTGTCGCCGCCGCCGCCGCCGCCGTCACCTGCTGGCTTGCGTACTAATCGCCGGTGGGGGATGTTGTTATGGGAGTTTGGATGTCGTCTTCGGCGAGTTGGGGTGTGTTCGCATTCCATTGCACACAGTCAATACAACACACAAAACAATGGGGTACGCGGCGTTGGTGGCTTGCTCCCCCCCTACCATTGACAACTCTCGTTGTTTCTGTCCCGCATAATCCACAAGTTACTTGAAATGGAAGAGACAACGTCGGCTTGATCTCCCGTTTGGAAAGCTCAAGGCCAACCACGAATGGGTGTCTAGTCTAAGGTAGGTGCAATATGCAAGCACCTGTTTCTGCCAGGCTCTTCACCGTACCTGATTGACAAACACGGGATCTACATACATCCCCTACCGAGCACAAGCCTGGGCTCGCTCCAGGTTCTAGAATACTTCACCTTGAGCTGAGCAGAGCTGTGGACAGCTCCCGTGATGTAACTTCGTACATTGCTTCCCCCGTTGCTGCCGTCGCCGCCGCCACTGGCTGGGTGCTGCTAATTTTACCCCAACCGCCGTTCCGAAAGCAGACAACGGGCTGGCGCTGGCTGATGACCCCCCTGCACCGCCACAAGGGGGGGCCGGGAAAAACTCAGATCGTCACTTGTGCATTCTGCTCTCCCCCAGGTTTTTTCTCTGGTCGGTTTCTTGTCGTTCCCCTTGATGCTGGAGCATATTTTGATGGAAACGAGGTCACGATGCCTCAAAGTAATTTCCTGCCGTCAGGGTTGTTGGGCCATGGCATCATTCCAGCTCCAGGTCACGACGGAGAGACACTGGGCATGGGAGTTCCGGTCCCCGGGGTTCCACGCACACCGTCTTTGTCCAGAGTGACTCAAAGCATCCCTACGGGAAACAGAAAGAAAAATAAAAACTCACGATACTTTGGGCCATGGTCACAACACACGTGTCCTCTCCCAGTCGCCCCCTGCGGTGAGTTCGGTTGAGGAGTTGCAATGCCGTTGCAGGAATTGCGGCATCGTAGTCCGCATTACTGCCGGCCGCCGGATTACGTATCCATGCAGCAATCGCTCCCAACCATTACCTTCCATCTTCCATTGCCTTCTCGTTTTCAAGACGGGAAAGTGAGGCCTCCTTCTTCTTCCCTTCTGCATCCCAACGGGCGCTCTGCCGCATCAGTTCCGATGAGGAATGGTCTTCTGTGATCCGTCACTTACCTTTGCTCACCTTTGTGGGAGCAACAAGTTTCCTGGGAGAAAAGAAACCACGCACTCGCCCGGCAGTTGCAACTTGATAACAGGCCAAAATGGCTCGTCCAAATCGAGTAACCCAATAGGCCATTTACGCCGTTCACGCCTGTTGTCCAAATGTCCCCCGAGGAGGCCTCTGCAAACTCAATCGACATGCCGTTTGACGGATGAGCCCAGCTGCTCGACTCGCTTTACTTCGCACATCATCTTGGACCTGTCCGATCCATTGCATCCAAACGTTGTCAACCCCGGAAAATATCAAGTAATCAACACCCAGGCAGAGCCTCCATGTCCCACGGCTAGTTCCCCACTTGAGACTGTCCCAACGTCAAGTCCCAAAAGTCCGCTGCTGCCTCCAAACGTGGTCCCCAACAACTGAGGTGGTCCCGAAATTGTTACACACTCTGCTTTCTTTAGCACATCTCGGGACCAAAATTGATGATGCAAGACCCAAACCGCCGAGCCAGCTCCCTCCGACGGACCACACGTTTGGTCATCCCATTGTGACAGTGAGCGTGCGAAGAAACGCCTTGGCTGGTGGGCAGCATCTCACACCCAACCCCCCGGGAGGTGCATGAGACTAGAAAGAAACCCCCCAAAGTGCGCAGATCATCCGGGCTCGGGAAAGCCTTCCAAGTTGCGGCCCACCACCCATCACCCGTCACCTCGCCGAGGTTGCAGAAACACGGGACGCAAAAAAAGACGTGATCCTGTCTCCCCGAGACCTGCGACAGGCGAAAAACACAACAACAGAGACTTGCATTGTTTGGGGAAACACAAGGCATGGACTGCCTTATCTCATGGTTCAAGTTAATTGATGACACGGTGTGAGAAGTTCCCTCACTCTCCGGCGCGGCCCAATCTCGAAACGGCACGTTACGGGCTGGTAGCTAGCTTTGCTTCAGGATCTGCAGGTCAGCCCGGCCGATGCGAGCGCGATACCGTGCCCGTCCCCGGAAGGGCAGCTCGGTCGGGAGTGGGTGAGGATGTGGGCGTCCAGTCTTCCCCAGAATCTCCTTGCCGGCAGGCCGTGATCGCCCGAACATTCGACGGGAGCGGGCTCCTCTTCGTCCGGCCATCCCATCCATCCCGTCCCACCCCGTCACCTTACCTTTTCCCCTCCCTCACACCAATCCTCCTCCTGCAGGTCACATCCCCATTCCCCCTCCTCTTCAAATGGCCTTCCACCATAATCTAAGTACCTTCACCTAGAGGCATCCCCGCCATCAGCACTACCAAGCAACGCCCTCGTACCTGACGTTTATTACCCCTCCACACTCCTCCACTCGCTTCCCCGTGCCCCAGACTCGCGGACCGTCCAGCCAAGAGACGAGTCAAGCAACCCCGCATGTGGCCAGTTTATGGGGTAATGAGGGGGTAATACTGGGGTTTTGAAGGGGTAATGAAAACGCCCATATTTCGTAATTCGAGACTTTTAGCTCAAGCACGTTATTTGGAGATGAAGAAAAAAAGTTTTTTCTTGCTGTCACGATGCCGATTGAGAAATATACAAAAATAATAATCAGGGCTGCGTTTTGAAAATTGTTTCCAAAGCCCAGGTACTTGAGGTACAAAGCCCCAAAGTACCGAGTGACAAAGCTCGACGTACCTGTAACTAAAACAACAACAGGTACAAAGACAAAAACAATCCGACCTGGATCGTGGATGTTGGGGGAGACTTCGCCGACCCAAACCCACTCTGCAAGATTTTTTTGGAGAAAAAGAGGGCCTGGAAGATTCACAGGACTTCCATCTCCAACTCTCCCCAAACCCGTCATGTTGACTCCCGGTGGAACAGCTGATGGGTCTTGGCCGCTTACTGGTCAGCGTCAGCATCAGCATCATCATCAGCACCAGCATTTCCCTCCTCATGCCCTCTCAGATTTGACGCCTGATAGCCAGGCAAAGCGCGCCGCCCGCTTGGCGCAGCCCGTTGTTGTGACCGTCGCGGACAATGCCCTCCTGCTTCACGCCTATCGCGGCTGTAGGTCGGCGTTCTCGCCCTGCGGTCCTTCTCCTGCGGGAGCAATCAAGCAGAAGTCTTTGCTGAGGGAAGGGTGAAGTCACCCATCATCTGCAGGTCGTGTCGCGAAGCTCTGATGCTGGCACGCGTGGTCTGTGTCGTTCGAAGTCGCTCTCAACCAGAACCGTCAACGTTTGCAAAGACGCAGAGGAACGCATAAGATTTGTCTGAGAGCGTCTTTCCGAATGAACTAGCAGTTCCCCGAGCCATGGACGTCACTCTTACCCCGCCGGTATTTCCTTTGTACAATCATGATGGTGATATGGATCAGCGCGACATTGACGAGACAATGGATGGCGCGAGATCGAGAAGTTTCTCCTCCCAAGAGCATCGCTTTTGACGAGGTGCGAAGTTGGCAAGGACTGACAACAATGGAGAAGTCAACTCTCGAACCGCGAAGCCGCGTTTTGAGCAACCGAACCGGACTTCTCTCATATTATCGAGCAGTACTGAATGTGGCTGCTGCAGAGCCTTGGCTACCCCCACGTGGATGACAGACGAAGACCGGAGATATCCAACATCAAGTCCCATGCTGGGATACGGCAGTTCGGCTGAAGAATCTCTTGCGACCTAGTGGTCGGTTTTCGAGGCAGGCACCTGAATTGAAAGAAGAACACATCAAGTTGGCGGCATGTTCGACTTGTTGAGGATTGAAGATCATGAGGGCATGAGGTTTATCATGTCGGGGTATCAACCAGAATTCCCTATCAAAGTGAAGACGTATTCATCGCTTCCGTCTAATTACATAGCAAATGGTAAGTCGCACGTTCAATAAGCAATCCGCAGCCTACTCATGCCGTACAGCAACATCCTCGGGCATTCTTGAGGACACTTCAGCGACTTCCCTTACGCTTGAAGAACCAGATAAGAGAGATCCAAGAACACCAATGGGCCATGCATGCTCTCAAAAACCAGAGCATCGTGTGGTTGTGCCAAGACCAGCTGAACGTGCCAAGCTCGATAGTGAGTTGTGGCGTTGGCCAACCCTCAGCTCAAGCCACGCAGGCCTCGAACCTCAAAGACCTCTTTCTTATCGACGAGTCAAACGTCTTGGATATCAACGTGCTCAAAACCCCTCTTTATCCTGTGCTGATCTGATTTATTTTGGTTCTTGTTGATTGTTTCTCTCTGGAGTTTACTCTTGCCCCGTTAGAACTCTTGTTATTGCACCTTCAGGAGTGAATGGGTCTAGATTCACTCGTATCTGTGAGCTTTTACACATCCTCAGAATGGAATACTTCAAAAAGGCCAAAAGCCAAGTCAAGGGTGCAGTCAAGGAGGCCCAGGTCCTATCACAACAGCTTCAGAGCCAGCATCAGTATTCCCAGCCACAATATCAGCAACAGCAGCCGCAGCAAAATAGCTATTCGACGACAACAGCACAATACCCCAACTATCAACAGCAACCGCCATCTTCGTACTTCAACGGTCATTATGGCAACTCCGGAAATGGTGTGAACCAGACTGAATCACCACAGTATCATCACGGCGGGTCGCAACATTCATACCATCATGGACAGCCTACGACCGGGGCGCAGGCAGCGATGTCTCCTAGCTATTATCCGCAGCAAATGGCAGCTCCGCAAACAAATGTCACTTACCAAGCGCCGCCACCACCACCACCACCAACGGCTCGACCGCAGCCGCAACTAGATCACGGATATCATGGGCATCAGGGATATCATGTGGCTCGTCCTGCTCCTCCGCCTCCTCCGCTGCAGTACAACGGCCATGCAGTAAGCCAACAGCCTGGGCATGGCCAGACACAGAATCCTCCGGGTCGGTCATTCGATATGACGGCAATGTCTCAGGCCTTAGGTCCAGGTCCAAGTCAGAGCCGCGATGCTACACAAGCACAACCCCAAAATCAGCAGCGCCAAGCTCATCATCAGCAAGCCCTGCCATCGCCGGCAGTCTGTTCGCCCAACGCAGCCGCTCTTGTACCATGTCCCAAGTACGAGATGGCGTCTTTGGAAGTTGTGTCGTTCTACGTGCTGAAGGACGAGGTTCTGAACGCACATCAGATATCCCCAGGGAAGAAACAGACGGATCCTGACGCCTTTGCTATCTGCAGCGCTTGCTTTGCTAGCGCAGTTGCATCAACAGAAAATGCGCAGCTCTCTGCATGTTTTCGTCAACGAGAGAAAGCAATACCAAAAAACCCCGAGACACCGAGGCAGTCCTTTGAGCAGCTCGAGTGTCGATACGCCACCGTGCCGCGCCTGCGAGCGTTCATGTCTCAGTTTGGCGGACAGCAGAAACCACCACACCAAAGCTCGGCGATGATAGACTCTCTGGTACATCTCGCCAAGTCCATTTGCGAACTCGGACCCTGTGCCGGGGCAGGGCCGGTCACCGAGGAGACGCCATATTACACTTCCAGGGCGCTCGACCAGCTCGCCGTATGCAGCACCTGCTTCGAGCAATTCTTCCGCGGCACTCCCTTCGAGCGGGAGCTGTACCGCTCCGCGCCCATGTCTGGATGGGGATGCGACGTCCGCGGGATTCGCGGCCACGTCTTCAAGATGCTCGCGCGAGAGCTGGACGCGGGCCCGCAGCGCATGTCGTTCGGCCGCTTCGCAGAAGCCACGCGATCCCGGCTTGCCATCGGCTGTGCAGGAGAGAACAACCCCATCTGGCCCGCGGAGTCCTCTGCGCCGCACTACAGTTACGAGCCGCATGACCCGAGTAAGGCGGGTGTGTTCTGCGAGGCGTGCTACTGGGACTTTGTCCATGGCACGGCTGTGGACCGGTTCTTTAACAACCGCGTCCGGCTCGACGAGGAATTTCGGGGCACCATTTCTTGTGACCTTGGGGGTGTGGCTTCGCGGTTCGCCATGCAGTGTGCCGTCAAGTGCGGCGACGACGAGGTCTGGCGCCGTTGCATCTCGAGAAGGGGAACGCTGCCGCCTTGTGTTGGGCTCAGAGGTGTCGACGAGGAGGATTTGCAAGGCAAGGATGGAGACGACGACTCCTTATGGTATTGCTTGGCAGAGTATCCCTCGATCGAGGTCTGCCCTTTCTGTTACAACTCGACGGTAGAGCTGCTCGGAGCCAGCCACCTCTTCAAACCAATCACCCGTCCTCATTCCCCCGGCATGATACGGTTCTGCTTTCTCTCGAACCCATCAGATCACGACGCCGACACATCAGACAGCGCCAATTTCGAGAACACGCTGGTCTGGCGCGGGCTCATTCTGCGGCGATGGCTGCACCAAGGCTTCGACTCGTACAGAGTCGACGACTTTGCGGGTTTCCGGAGCGCGGCGGGACTCGTAGCTTCGTGGCCGCCCCCGTGCGGCGGCTCCGAGCGGGCATTCAAGTCGGGCAGCGGCCGCAAGTGGTTCGGCAACGCCTTCTATCTCATTGGCGACGACGAGCAACATATTAGCCTCAACATGTGCGAGGAGTGCCATGATGACGTGGTCAAGGGCACAGCGCTCGAGTACGACCTGTCCCACGACAAGACAGCGCGGGCGTATGAGATCTTCCCGGACGGCCTGACGTGCAACCTCGGCACGTCCCGACGTCTGCGGAACGAGCTTGCCGCGTCGCTGAAGAAGGGCACCTTTGTCGACTTTGCGCAGTACTTCTACAGGCGCAAGGATGTCTCCGAGCGCAAGAGGGCGATTGACAAGCTCTGCCAGGAGCAGACCGTCCGGCAGCAGCAGATGCTTGATGCGGTCAACCTCCAGGGCCAGGCCGCCGCGCTTAATCTCATGCAGCAGCTCAACGCCAACACGAACGCCGTTATCATGGGCGTCGGTGGGTCCGTGTCGGCTGCCGCGGCGACGGACTACGGGCAGCGCTTCGGCAACGCGACTGTCGGGTATGGACATTTGACTCACGGCTCAGCGGCGGCTGCGCAGGCACACCACGATGCTCAAAGTATGGCAGCAAAACAGCGGCAGGGTGTGAGCGCTGCGGACTTTAAGCCTTGCGGTGATACCTGGGCTGATACGCAGCAGTTGTTGGCCTTGGCCAAGGCCGTCGAGGAGGAGTGGAAGGCTGTTAACTAAATAGAACGTTACTAATGAATGATTCTCAAGTGGTTTTTGAAACGAGTTGAACAAGAGCCCTTCAAACGGCATGATGAGCTATTCATGATAAATGGTCGCCGAATACTTAACTTTCTGTCGATTGTGTTGAGGAAGTTTCATGGCCCACTCAGTATGGAATTTCATAATCATTTCCATTGATAATACCATTTTCAACTTAATGTTACGATGTTTTTGAAAAAGATCTAGTCACTAAGTTCTACCTCAACATCAACTCGCGTGAGACGAGTTCATTACTATGTATGGGTTATTTACGAAACTGCTTTGTAAAGGACGAAGCTTTTTGAAGTTGAGTACATTGTGATATTGGAATTTGTTAGTATCTCGCAATCCAGAGTAATTTTTCCTGGTAATTACAAACCTTCACTGTCCAAAAATGCTTTGATCGAGCAAGCTTGCTGTCTCATCTCATGAGGTACCTCACTGCTTCACAGTGTAAGGTAGGTTGCGTTGCTGAGAGCCCCGCAGCAACCGCAGCGCAACCTCTCATTGGACTGTGCGGCGCCCCGGCGCGGGAATATTCATTCTTTTCGGGGCTTCTGGCGCATCATGACTTCACTCCTCAAATCCCACTCAACACCAGAAGTAAGGATTGAAATTACGTACCTGAGCTGGAGATCAGGCCTCGTCTTATGACTGTTCGTGATCGTCATACAAACTTAGACACATCCATTCTGCCTCATCCAACTTTTTCGTCAACTCAACTCGCATTTTGCGGCTTCATCCCCCTGCTGCTGAATCCAAGCACCCCGCCTTCTCACACTTACTCAACATCAAGCCAGGAAGCTGTCAGTCAGTCGCCAGTACAACTTAGTGTCACTCCGAAAATGGACAACTCCAGCAGAGCATACGCAGAGTCTCTGGACCAGAAAGATGCCCTGCGGCACACGCGGGACGAGTTTGTCATCCCGACCAAGCAAGAGGTCACCAGCAAGACCCTGGCAAAGAAAGGTCTCTCCCAACCCAAATCAGACGACACCCTCCACCCTTACTCTCCCAGCTTTATACATCACCAACAATGAGGCTAACATCCTGTCTCCTGTAGATGAGGGCTCCGAGCAGAAGCAGCAGAAATGCACCTACCTCTGTGGCAACTCTCTCGGTTTGCAACCCAAGCGCACGTCTGAGAGGATACAGCAGTACCTCGCAACATGGGCGACACAGGGCGTCCAGGGCCACTTCAAGCCGCTGGACGACTCGCCCCTTCCGACATGGCTCGATGTCGACGCCAAGGCATCTAAGATGATGGCTCCCATCGTTGGCGCTGACGCTT